GCATATTGAGCTTGCAAATAAGAAAAAATATATATAAAGTGAGGTAGTCTGTGGAGAAATAATTAAATAAATAGGGCCATCTAGCATCTACGACTATCGAAGTGGCTTTTAACAAGTTCTTTAGCTTTTCTGTAGCTTTGGTTTTTTATCTGTAAAAATTGATACTAATAGAACCCATGCCCTTGTGAGATTATGCATATGAAGCATTTAATACAATGCCTAACACATAGTAAGAACTCAATAAATGTAAATTTTAAATAAATCACATCCTATTACCAGATTTGTGAAATAAAAGGAGACTGTGACTACATCGCATACTGAATAGACAACTTAAGGCAGTAACATTTTTCTGTAGTCTAAATAGACAGTTTTCCATAGAATTTTCTTCTGCTTTATAAGAAAAATGATACTCACATGTTGCAACTCCTGGAATCTTAGACTGAAGTAGGATAAACAGGACGCAGAAAATCAGTTGGCCGCTGATATTGCACTCACAAGGTGGTAGTTTGTTAATGGGGTCACTGGGCTCTTGTTTTATAAACGGAGAAATTTGATTTTGAAATTCAGATCAGAACTAGATCAGATTGTCTAGAATAGATTCACACTGAATAAAGTGACAAGAGATGGATATGTGAATCAAAATGCCAATATGTTCATTTTCCTTCTCAAGCAGGAATACTTTAACTCTCTGCTGAGGTTATCGTTAGTGAATCAAAGCGTGATTTGGTGAGGGGAGAAGGAAAGGCATTATGAAAATGGTCAGTTTTGAGGAGGGATATCCCTTAGCCCAGGAAAAAAACGTCTCATGAACTTTTCCTGTAACACAGTCTAACTTTCTAGTTAATGGAACACTCTTTCCTGCTAAAGTCAGTCCTTTTCCCTTACTCAGGCTATGTGAAGATTGCTAAATTTGTGCTCCTTAATCTCATACTTCACTCTTCTTTGAAGATCATTGTGCCAAACTACATTTTTCAAAGATAGCTGCAACAGTCTCTCCATCTCACATGCTATTCTTGCCAGTCTTCCATTAAGAGGTGGAGTCTGTGTCTCTATCTCCTTCAATCTGGGTGAGCCCTGTGACTGCTCCAGTCAATAGGATGTAGCAGAAGTGATGCTGAGCTAGTTCTGGATGTAGCCCTTCGCAGGCCTGGCGGTTTCTTCCTCCTGACTCTTGAAACACTGGCTTTTAGGATGCTACTCTCAGAACCCAGCTACCATGGATAAGTGCTCTAGTTGCACTCTCAGCTGAGCTCCCAGCCAAGAGCCAGCATCAACTGCCAGTCCTGTGAGTGAGCAATCTTGAATGTCCAGCCATGTTAGATAACTGTAGCCCATGTTCCATCTGACCACAAGTGCATGAGAGACCCCAGTCAAGAGCTGTCCAGCTGAGTATAGTTAAACCACAACATTGTGAGAAATAATAATAGTTGTTCTAAGCCCCAAGTTTTGGCATAGTCTGTTGTGCAGCAATAGATCCTAGATTCATTTCAGTTCATCTTTTGCTTCAACTAGGTTAGGATATTGAATAAGCTTTTTATTCTTTTCTATTTAGTTATTCATTGATTACTTTCACAAGCCTTGTTCATTCATTCATACAACATATATGTATTGCTACTATATATCAGGTACTGTTCTAGATGCTGGAGATACAGAAGTTCAAAATTCCCTTCCTTCACAGATCTTATATCTTATCTTAGTGAGGGACAATAAACAAAACAAATAAGTTATAAGGGCTAAGAAGTAAAAAATAAGACAAGGATGGAGAACATGAAATGTTGAGGGATGAGTAGAATTGTGGAGATTTTACATAGGATGGGCAGGGAAGGCTTTCCTGAGAAAGTGAGTAAATACCCGCAGGAAGTTTGGGAGCTAACCTAGTGAACAACTGAGGGACAGTGGGATGTGCCTGGTGGAAAAGAGGACAGTTCAGACAGAACAAGTGTGAAAGTAGTAAGAGATGAAGTCAAGAGGAATAATGTTGGGCATTTTGACTCATAGTAAAGACTGACTTTCATTCTGAGTAAGGTAAGAATCCACTGAAGAGTTTTACACAGAGGAGTAACATGATCAGACTTCAGTTAAACAGAATTAATCTGAGTATTGTGTTATTGTGTTGAGAACACAGGACCACAAGCAGGGAAACCAATGAGGAAACTATTGTAATCATCTAGGTAAGAGATGATGGTATCTTGGGTTAGGCTGGTATTTGATGAGTGTTAGGAGTCTGGGATTTGATTTTACTCTACTTATAAGGCAATGTATTAAACTGTAACTATTTCATAGATTCCAGCAGAAGACATAAGACTCTTGGGTCAGGGACAAAGGACTTTATTACTCGCGGCACAACAAGCAGCATGAGCTTCATGTTTGTGTTGGTTGCCCCTGTCCTGCCAAGTCCCTTGGAAGCAATATGGATGGGCCCAGATGAATGATATATAAGTGGTGGGCACGTGTTGCAGCTGAGGAACACTCAGCTTAGGAAATTCATCTCATTTATAGTAGTAAGCAGTAAGCAAACTTGCTCTTTGTCCTGGAGGGTGACATTGACTCATCCCTTCAGGTTGCTCACCGCAAATGCAATCCTAAGAAGTGTCCTGAGCGAGGAGTGGTCAGGGCCTTGCATTCTTGGCATACTTGGTAAGAATGTACAAGGACTCTCAGGTGGGTTGCCTGGCAGGTCGACCTGAGAAGTAGTCCAATTCTGGACATGTTTTTTAAGATAAACTTAAGATTTTCTGGGGGCTTTGATTTGTGAGATATTTTTCTAAATGATCGACTTGTATTAGTTTATCTTGTTTGTGAACAATTTTATCTGCATGGATTGGGAGTACCTTATATTCACTTCCAGCATACTGAATACACTTCACCCTAACTAACTCTGAACTTCAAAGTAATATATTTAGAAGTCATGCTTGAAGATACTCGGGTGACAGAGCAGATTAAACATCTGAATATTTTACCTTATCTCAAAGTTGTCAACTAATAAGATAATGCACTAGATAATGTAGTTTATAAAAAGTAGTTAATTTATAATTTAACTTTTTTTACTAAAGAAAACATTATTTTCTTGCTCCAAATTCTACTACTTGTGCAATCACCTTCTAGAAAATATCCACTTTCAAACTGTGGTTTGCATTCGTACAAATTTTCAGTTATACCCTTCTTTAACTTTACCAGATATTCAAGCATCCAAATTTACAAGATAATACTTGCATTATCAGGAAAAATCTTAATTTATCAAAGAACCAAATATGTAAACTTTGTATATAATGTTACTTCCTTCTTCATATAACAAAGATTATTAAAATAATATTCAAGTTGCTGCAAGCGACATTTCAGCAAACCAGAGTGTGTTGAACTTCTTAAATTAGTTTTTCAATCTGGGTAAGTTTTTTAGTTCTCTAGATTACAATTATACATAATCAATAAAGAATAATTACAGCTCGAACTGCTAGAGTATGATCAGTAGAAAGCCTAGTTAATATGCTACGCTGAAATATGTGGTACTGACAGAGCATTCCCTCATGCTGTTGTTCTCAATACTGACTAGCCATTAGAGTCACTCAATGCTTGGAAGGCAGCACAAAGAATACTAATGCCAGGCCCCAGTCCTGAAAATTCTAATTCAATTGGTTTTGAATGGACCCAGGCCTTAGTGTTTTTTAAAAAGTTCTGTAGGTGAATGTAATGTTCAACCAGGATTGAGAACCACTGCTGTACTGAATTCCAAAATACCAGTCCCCCAAATTCAGTGGTTGCTTCCCAGTGTACTATGTCATTAGAAATATTGGAAATAAAATGGTTCTCATGGAGAAGCAATACTCAAATATCCTGAGTCTTTTCTTCTTTGTCTTTTTCTTCATAGAACTTTAATAATTAGTTTATCTTTCTTGCTCTTTCTCTCTGTATGTTCTAGACTTCCAAATCTAGAAAGTTCTGTCTATGCAAACTGCAGTATCTTCCAAATGTTAATAAGGAGACCCAGACCCCATCTAGCTGGGGGTTACTCTACCACTTATGGTTCCATGGAAATTGCCTCCACCATCTCGATTCCCTGACCTGCAGGAATCCAAAGCCGTCTTCAAGACTTTTGCAAATTCTCAAATACATTCATTCTCCTAGCCTCTTCAGTTTCTTGGCTCTTGTTACCCTCTGCCTGACTTATGTGGATTGTGACCTAAAATTCAGTCCTTCTTTCATGCTCATATCCACTAAACAATCACTTGCATGGAGTATTCCTGAATTTTATTTCACTTTACTGAGCATTTTGGCAACAAGGAGAGAAAGAAGTGTCATTCTGAGAGAAACTGCTAATTGTCCTTCAATGTACATTCTCCCTTCCTTCTTTTTAGTAATTCATCACTCCCCTCCCTAAAGAATGTCTGTTTGGTAAGACATTCCTATTCCTAAAAGAAATTCTGATGACAGTCGTTGTAATACTATAAACTACATAAAAAGAAATTTGAACAAGAATTGATATATATATTAAGCCTTTATAAATACCAAGCAATTATTTTCTCTAGGATATTTTGCTGAGATAAAAACCTTATTTTTCTGTCTAAAAATATCTTTCAGAATTTGAAAATAGAAGATTAAGTGGCAAAAAACATGGACTTTGACTGTCTTGCATATAAGCTACCTAGAATTGTTTGGAGTTTTATGTTTCCTATTTCAAGGTAAACAAATGCTGATACAACCAGTGTTGCCACTTGTGCAGGAATAACTACTATGGCCTGGCACCAGTTACAGATGTCTCTGGTTTCAGCATTTTCCATTTCCATGATTGCTTAGGTTCTTTTCAAATTGAAATTTGATCATTGAGTAAGCTTCTAGCTATTGAATAACGGTAGAATTGAGTGGTCTGGTAAATAAGAGATCTTGTTTTACCTGCAAGAGCTCATGTATGCCATGAAGTATAAACTGATGTTAAAGAGTTAGAGTGTACAAAAATGTATGCCTGTGATAATGGTTGCATCTTTTTTATCTCCATATTCTCTTAGCAAGAAGATAGAGACTTTCTACCTCTCCTCACCAGCTAGAGCTGTGACTTCATGTCCTAAACAACAGTGAGGCTGAAGGTAAGGGGAAGGGGAGAATGAAGGTGTTGGGGGCGGGCTGGTGGTGATGGTGTTAATGTGTATTTTAAGAGTGTGGCCTCAGAAACCAGATGCCCTGGGTTCAAATCTCAGTTCTGCCACTTAATATCTGTATGATCTTGGGCAACTTGCTTAGCCTGTTTATGTCTATTCTTTATCTATAAAGTGAGGAGAATGATAGTTCCCAGCTCACAGGGGCATTCTGAAGGTTAATACGTGTAGTACACTTAAGCATATTTTATGTCATTGCTTAGTTACTATCATTCAGAAATTTCACTGACCAGGGTTGACACCAACTGACATTTTCGGTTTATGTGGGCAGAGTCTGATACATCATATCCCATCACCTCTGCAACTAATACTACCAATTAATGAAAGTGGCACATTTTGTTATCCAAGAAATGAAATGCAATCCCATTTGTTACAGAAAATTCCCCCTTACCCGTACTTTCTGTAGGCGATTCACTTACTTTAAACGAGCGTGAAAATCCTGAGGGAGCCCTCTGTGTTGTCTTATATGTTACGGATGTCATTATATTCACAGTGATAGCGTGTACTTTTTGTGTTTTCTAACCACAAATACAGGAGATAATGCTGCATTCACATTTTACTCAGCATTAAACATCTGGTATCAACAGAATAAACAAGAAAAAGACATGATTGTACTGTCAGAGTTAATAATTCAGGAATATTAATCTGCTCTTTTAATCGTATATGGTATATCATGCTTAATTGGCCCTTCTGAATTTTTCTCCTTTGCGTCACTTAGTGAATTTTGTAACTAGCATTTAAAAAAAAATAAAAACCAAACCAAACATTCAGTCAGGTGCATGGTTCTCACTTATCTCTGATGCTGCTTTGAAGAAACTGGTTTTGAGAACTTAAGAGAAAAAGTTTATCATCACCCTCACTGAACTAGTGTTGAACATCAGCTTGATGGAAAATGACCCATGTCCCCAAAATAATGCCCTTGCAGGTGGGAAAGTTCCCATGACATTGGGACATGAGCTGTCAGAAGGGATATGCCGCATTTCAGCATTTGTGGGAAGGAGTGTTATTATGTCACTGTATTAGTGGCCTTGTAAAACAGTAACCATGATTGGAGAAGGGGCACCCAGCTGTTGTGGTGGAAGACATCGGCAGCCCTCTAACCACCACTGCTGAAAGAAATAAGATATGACAATATTTGAAGTTTAATACGGTGTCAGACTTACAGCCACCCTTTTGTTCAAAACCAATTCTAACTTTCGGCTTCTGCCTGCTGCATTTCATATTCCACACAGTAATTTCCTTTATTTTGCAGGATAGCATTAACTTCTGCTGCACTGTCACATTTTACTATGCATTAAGCATCTGGTATCAATAGACTAAACAACACAGAAAGTAGGATTATGCTGTCAGACGTAATAATTCAGAAATATTAACCAGCTCTCATGATTATCAGTAGTTCGTCTTGTGTAATTGGCCCTCGATGTGCGTTCTGCACTTCTGTGTAACTCTCTATGTACCAGTATAAGATAATAGTGCCTAATCTTTCATGTAACTAACAGAGTTAATTTGGTTAAATGAAATCAGTTCATCAGCAATACTAGTTCCTCGACACAAAAAAATTAGTTAACCCCACACACACTCAAACACACGTGTACATACCCTATCAAACAAACACAAGACACTTATTGCATACAGTAACAGATAAGGAAAGCTATTTAGCCTTAAGAAAACTTGAGAAAGGAGAAAAGTAAACCATGTTCAGGAAAACCTTGCCTGTGAAGTTAATGTCTATAGCTTGGTTCACTGCAAGCTTCAGTTTGAGACCATTCGCTTCCCTATTTAATTAAAACGTATTTGTCATCTGCTGTGACTCCTTACCTGTAATACTCAGGACTGTTCAAGATCTCCTTTATACCTGGTCTTAAACAGCTTTACTGCAATTTCGACGTGTCATTGCCGGTGGAGGACCAGTGTGTAGAATCCTGAGCTGAAGCAGTGAGCGCTGGTCAGAAGTTCTTGTTCTCGTAACATCCTTATTTGAGCATTGCAAGTTGAAAAAGCATCTAGTGTATTGGTCCTAGATAAACTTCTTAAATCACTAATTGATGTTAACATTTTACATGCTTCTGCAGTTTCCTGGTGTCTTCCCTTACTCTCAGCTGCCATTTCTTTTAATTGTCAGTAGATCTAAGAGGACGGGCTGCTTTTCTCTTTGGTGATTTCCTACTATTTATGTGCAGTGGACTTTGAAATAATACAGAGCCTTGCTAAAAGTGAGTGCTATGTAGGAGTAAATGTGCTCTGAGTGAGGGAGGGAGGTTTCCAGATCAGCAAAGTGAATGAACTCCAACGCACCTTCTTCTGTTCGATATATCCCTAAACAGGTTTAAAACACTTTTCTTGCTTTCTGTTTCTTCACTTGTTTCAGGTAGATAATGCTTGTTGCTATTTAAGCTTTGTATAGGGCAGATAGAATATTTCTAGTAAAACATAATAACAAACGCTATTTCCTTTCTGGTTTCTTAGTAGCTAGTTGCATAAATTAGCCCTTTTCATCTCTGTAATAAGGTTCCTAGTGAAAAGAAAAAGAGGGAAGTAAGTACTTAGAATGCAGTATATATGGCTTCCAAGCTAAGAATGAGGAAGTAGAAGATATTTATGAACCAGCTCATTTATTTTGGCAAATCTAACTCCTGAAAGGAAGCGGAATAATACTACATTAAGAGAGTTATTCAACCTCTTCGAGACTCAGTTTCCCCATTTGTAAAATTAGAATAATGACACTCAACTAATAAAGGTTTTCTGAGGATTGTTTGTTATATAAAGCACTAAACATGATACATGAGAAATGCTTTATAAATTTTAAGTGTATAGACTCCTGTTTTCCTAGAATCCATTGAACATTCGTGCCCAGATTAGATGTAACCCTTTCTAGATTAAAATGGTGTAAGTTAAAAGATTAAATATTGCTAATATGAAATATTATGAATATTGAATTGACAAGATTCATTTTCCTTTAAACAAAGGCTTTCAAAAGTTTTCTGTTTTATGTAAAGCAATTCGATTGCAACTTAGAGCAAATTTAATATTTCCCCAAAGAATTTAATCAACAAGGAAACATTTTAAGACCTTATTTAGAGACAAAAAAATTTTAGGAATATATGTTGTAAAATAATAAAATCTTAACACTTCAGATGTGATTCCTGGTGCAAAAGTGGCAAGAGAACTCCTAAAAAGACACAATAAATCTAGATAATTTATTTTTAAAACATCTGTGTTTCTGTTTCTTTTTTTAGTTTAAAAGAAGTATGTTAAGTTCTTCCTATACACCCACCACTGTAATAGAAGCAGAAAATACAAATACAAAATAAGACATAGCCACTGACCTCAAGATGTCAGATGTAATAGCACGTGTTTATCAAAACAACATAAATGCAGTGATAGAAATGGGTGCTACTCTTACTGGACCACAGATAAAGTGAGCCTGACTTGACCAATGCAGCATGAGACAAGGATGAGAGAGGCTCCCCGAAGGAGGTACCACCTCTATTGAGTCTAACAGGAGAAGTAGGTAAAGATGTGGAAAGCATTCTGGGCACAGCCGAGACTTGAGCCCAGGCCTGGTGTGTGCAACAGTGGGATGTGAACAGGGACTACAACTCTAGGTGGGAGGTAGAGCATGAAGCTGAGAGCAAAAGCAAGACATGGAATCAGATCATGCAGAGCTCTATATGCCAAGTCAGGGAGCTTAAGTTAACCCAGTGGACAGGTGAGTATTTAAAGGTTTCATCAGGGTATTCAATAGATCAGATCTGTATTTAGAATAAAACACTCTGACATTTGTGTGGAAGGCAGATTTAACAAGGATTTTGAGGATAAGATAATGCAAGGGATCCAGTGTAGTGACTTAAGTTGAGGAAAAATAAAGATCTGATTTAGGGCAGTGGCAAGTTAGTATCCTACTGATATACCCTCCACATACCTGATGCATGTGAAAAGACATACATACACTTTGAGGTATTGCAGCACTATCTGTAAGACTGGAAAAACTGTAGTGTTTTCATTTATGTTTAATACCAAGATTTGACTATGTAGGATCTTGTAATTGCAGTGGGGGATATCTGGGAGTAGCTGGAGGAATTAGAAAATTTGATTTCTTCAGATTCCTTCCAGTCATCTAATACTGAGTTCCCTCTTGCCTGACAGAGGTAGTGTTGCTGCTTTGTAAAGCAAGTTCAGTTAGGATGTAGTCTAAGGAAATGGACAATACTCCTTGGCAGATTAGCCCCGCATCGTTATCTTGTCCTCTTGTTCCCTGCTCGTAGACAATCACTAAAGTCATTTGCTATAAATTAAGAATAAGGCCAATGTATTGACTATCAACAGTATTGTTAAATTTTGCTCGGGAATTCTATCCAATATAATAAGACAAGAAAAAAATATATAATGGATATGGATACTGGAAATTAGCTGATAAATGTCTTTTTTTTCCTTTTGTCAAACCTAAGGGAATCAACTGTAAAAACTATTAGAAATAATATGGGTGCTCAGTAATGTGGCAGGTTGTGAAGTAATTATAAAAATACTGAATTTACTGTGTTAGCAATAATCACCTAAAAATAATGGGAGACAATTCTATTCCCAACAATAAATAAAATTTAAAATATTTAGGATTAAGTTAACAAAATGTGTAGAAATTATGTGAGGAAAACTGAAATTTCTTACTATGTCTGGTAAAAACAGAGTTGAATAAATTGAATGAAATACAAAGTTTCTGAATTAGAGGATTTGCTATTTTAAACATGTGAATTCTACCCCAAATTAATCATAAAGTCATGTGAACATAATGAGGATGCTAATGGCGGAGATTTTAGAATGTAACACAACTATTCTAAATTTTTTGGTAAGCAAAATCGTGCTCAAAATTGCCAAAGCAATTTTGAAAATGGAAGCAACAGGAGTACTTTCTGTAGAAGATAGTAGCATTTACT